GTCGCTAGGTGAACTAGAACCTAGATGTATTTTTTACTTCTAGTGTTCTTTGTACTACCTTAACGGATAGGTTGGAAGCTATCCTCGCAAAGAAAAAAATAGAGTGAAGTGGATTGAAACATTGCAATTTAAATATGTTGAAACGTATCCATGATTGTTCATGTTCTATTGATATTGGCGTCGGGAGTCCAAATATAAAAGAAGTTTCAGAAACAAAACTATATTTCCCAATATATGAATGGTTTAAATGATCAAAGAGAAAATAAAAGGATGAATTTATTAGGTGGGAGAGGAGAGAGGGTGAACGTGTCATATCATGTATTTGAGTCAGAAAAAGAAAGAGATGAGACCATGCATGCATCTTATCTCTGCACATGATGGGACCTAGTGAACAAAAATACCAAGTTACCAACACACAAACTCAGGAAAGAAACGAATGCAAACAAAGGTGGCACTGGGATTGGTGGCGTTATCTTATTGGCTGATGGGTTGCCGATAGGTAGCGTTATTGCCAGAAATGTCTTTGCGTGGGTGCATAGCCTAAGGGCGGCGGAGGACGAAGACGCCAGTGCTAACGCGGTGGAGCACCTCCCAATTGGGAACGGGGGATGCAGAATTAGTGGATTATTACGTTTTTAGGATAGTGGATTACGTGGGCAGGGCTGTTTCTCTGCGTGGTTAACGGGCTGGTCCATTTGAACGTGAACTGAACTGGAGCAGTCCATGGGCCGCGCGATGCACAACGGACCGACTGAACATGACCAGGAAAAGGGGACGAAATCGTTCGGGACCAACGACCAAGTCGGACTGGGAATCCTGGTTCGTGACAAACACGGACCTTGTGGACAGTCGATCGAGACTCGAGTCCGACCCAACGCAAGGTAATATAAGGCGAGCATACAGAGTTGATATCACCTTAGGTGGGCAATGGGCAATGTACACGGCAGACGCTCTCCTCGATCTACCACTACAAATCATGCCCAAGAGATCAAACCCTCAGCCAAGAACGCAGCCATGGAGACGCTGGAGCCGATCCAGCAAACCCTGGGCGAGATCGACAAACGGATCCCCGACGCCCTCCGCGCCGCGTTCGGCCTCGAGAAACGAGCCTCGTGCTCCTCCGAGGACGCCATCGCCAGCTTCTTCGCGCTGTATCTAGAGCCGCCGCATCATCGGGAGCGCCGCGAGCGCGACGGCGAGGAGCCGCGGGCTCTGAGGATGAACTGGGCCTCATGCTACGCGCCGCGCCACAACGAGGACGCGCACTTCGGGCACGACGAGGCCGGCGTCGTCGGCGTGGCGGACGGCGTCGGCGGGTACCGCAAGAAAGGCGTGGACGCCGGCGCCTTCTCGCGCGGGCTCATGACGAGCGCCTTCCTGCAGGTGCTGGCGACCGAGTCCGGCACGCCCGTCTGCCCGTACACGCTGCTGGAGCGGGCGTACGAGGAGACGGTTGCCTCGGCCGCGAAGGGGGGGTCCACGGCGGTCATCCTCTCGCTCGCCGGCACGGCTCTCAAGTGGGCGTTCATCGGCGACAGCGCGTTCGCCGTGTTCCGAGACGGCAGGCTCGTGCACCGTTCGCAGCGGCAGCAGAGGCGTTTCAACTGCCCGTTCCAGCTCAAAGCAACCGGAAAAGGGGAGCGCGTGAACAAAGCCGACGTCGGGCAGATGGCGGTGAGACACGGGGACGTCGTGGTGCTCGGGACAGACGGGCTGTTCGACAACATGTTCGACGCGGAGCTGGAGGTGGTCGTGCGGATGGGCATGGCGCTGGGCTTCTCGCCCAAGAACATGGCGGACGTCGTCGCGGGCATCGCTTACGAGATGTCGACGAGCAAAACCAGAGACTCGCCGTACAGCGCCGACAGCCGGAGGCTACAAGGAGACCAGCGCCGCGGTGGGAAGCCAGACGATATTACTGTCGTCGTCGCGTTCATTGTCTCTCTGTACTCTTGACCTACATTTGTTTTTCCACTCCTTCTTCCGTGCGTTGTGAGTCTTTGGGACAAGAGCTGTCATCCATGGACATGTAAAGGAGTTTCCAACCATAAATCAGGTCTTTGGGAAAACGAAACATGTGTGTACGTTGCTACTCGAGTCAGATGGCTATTGCCTTCTCCGCAAAAATAAGGTGGCTAACTGGCTATTGCCTTCTGGCAGGCTATGGAACTATCATCCATGGCCATGGATTTGGACTGAAACGCCATGGATGCGTTGGTACTGCATTCCCCAACAGGCCTTACCTGAGAATCCCTTTATTATCCTTCTACGGAAAAAGATCCATATTATTATTTATTTATAGCATACTATAAACATGATCTTCTTCTCAAGAACAATACAAGAGTGATCTTTTTCCAAGGGAATACAAGAGCGATGATGAGAAGAAAAACTAATACTCCAAGAAAAAAGAATCCATTGCTACCCTCAAATTTCTTTGACGAATTTGGGGAAGGATTTGCTTCAAGGATAATGGGGAACTGGAGAATAATATATTGTGAACTGATTTGCTTCAAGTAGTTTTGAATACGATGCATGGGGAATTTTCTAATTCAATTTGGTTCCTGTTGGAAGTTGGAATGTTTGCTTGGGGATCAAGCACTCGTTGTTATTCTATTGATTAACTATTAAATGTTGTTTAAGAAAAATTTGGGGCCCCAAAATTTGGTGGACCATGTGTCATTGCACACTCTGCACCTGCTTGTCGTACTGTCTTGACTGGGTGCAAGGAAAACGCGTACATGAGGGTCTAGCTCGCTCGCACGCAAACCTTAAAGTTGTCCAGAGTCTGACTCGCTAGGAATGCTGAATCGATCGTTTACAGCGAGCTGGACTGGGTAGAGCGCAAAAGGGGGCAGGTAGTTTGCGGTGGTGTAGGGAGAAATGGGCGCGAAGATGGCGGGAGGCCGAAACCTGTTAGCTTGGGATGGCGCGTAATCTAGCC